AACGAGTGTTCCAACCAGCATAGCTATTTGGATCACCGCGATTAAGAAGCCTGACCACCACGTCATGATAGAAGTCAACGGTCGGTTATTTAACAAATCAACATATTAAGCTAAACATAGTAACAATGTACACAGATTCTGTAATCTAGACAGGCACGTCGGATAAATTCAATAAGTTTGAAAGTAGTTTGTATCAAATTCAACAGGACTGGTAAATTCCATTTTGAAATTGGAAGAATTCAACTTGTTCAAAGTGCATTAACCATAAGACATTTTCACTCTGATTAAAACAGTTTTGTTAAGAAAAAAGAATCGTTAATAGACGCAGTAAAACACAAACCGGAATCAATGTCTACAAGCAAATAACACCAGGAAAAAGACCATTAACGAAATATACTACTGAAAATGGATTTAACAGTATGTTTTGTATGAAGATAGATTTTTATTGATCCATTTTGTGAGTCTTCTTTGATTTTTAGTGGTTTCGCAGTTGATATCAACTTGTAACTATCATCTTATAATTCGAATCTCTCAATTTTTCCAAATAGTATTACCTCTAAATGTACCAGTGAGTAACAACAGTGGCGCATCATCCTACACGTGACCTATACGTTTTTCCAACCCTATTGGAGTTCTCTAAATATTGTGTGGCAGTATTGTTAACAGGGATGTAAACTAACCTATTCCTGATGACATTCAATCAGTGACTGACACTTATCAGCTTTCGTGCTTGTTAAATATTATTCATTAAAAAGAAGCGTTTGCAACTTCGATGACAATGACATTCTAAACAGCGTCCCTGAACATAATAGTAAGATAAGCGGCAACCGAAATATTGACTGCGATAATTACCATTGCGTAACCATCTCACAGAATTTTGTCACCCTGAAAACTGTGCAAAATAAAATTGCTAACAATCGACTGACCGACAACCTTACTCAACCTGCTTCTAAAACGAATGAGCTATGATCCGGACTGTTTAGCGACAACGGTTCTAACTTAAATGACTGACGTTTATTACTAGAAAGAATAACAGTTCCCCATAGGTTGTAAGAACACTGATTAATTAATGCCGATAAGTCCAAAAAGCGGATGAAATAACATCCTGTTGATCCCATCCAGTCCATTATCATCGAAACTTAAAACAAACATCACATTTTATTTCCAGAGTTAGCATCACAATTAAGGTAAATGAGAAGTCAGTTTGTCCACCTGAGAAAGAATTACCAACAGAATTTACCATCTCATTAGTTGAAGTACGTTTCTCTTAGATTAGCCGGTTATCAAAACAAACAATAAATTGAATACACGTCACCGAAACCTTTAACTGTTGTATCCCATGTGTCAATACACAAATATTATTGAAATCTAGGCCTTCAGCTGGAAATAACTTATTTTTTAAGCTTACGGACAGTTTTATAAGCATTCACAGAGGCTAACAAATATACCACAAATCAATATGTATGGACAGGTAAATATATGACCGACCGACCCACTCAATTCATATGATTGATGCTAATTTTCAAACCTCGAAATGGATGTATTTTAAGTTGCAGTACTTTTTTGGTGAAATTCCGTTACCTGAGTTGGGCTGTCTAATAGTAAATCTTTAGTTATCATTCAAGACATCATCAACACAAACCTCAGAAAGAAATGAGCGATAAGGTTAGAGGCTTTGTATTCAGGTCAGTTAGCAGTCAACAGACATATTGACACTGACCGAATCTATCAATCAATAAGAAACAACAAGAAGGTCAAAGTTAACGTCGGTAGAACAACCCAATCGAAACAAACTAGCAGACAATGATAAGACCTTGACCAAAACAACCGATCACATACAAAGTCATCAGGAGAAGCCACTAAATAAGTTGCGGAGAACCTTATCGCTAACTTCTTCCTGAAGTTTATGTTGACGTTGTCTAGAACGATAACTAAAGCCTTAAAACTAAATTATTCAGTTCAGAGAACACAAACCCATCAAAATTACCCTTCAAAACTACAAATATTCTCCATCAACTCAAAGCTGCAGCATGATTGAGTGTACTACTAATTATTATATTGAGCTTATAAATGCACACATGGATCAAGTAATGTGGTATACTTAACTAGATATTAGATAAAACTAATTAACTAATTATAAAAATGCGTCATGTAATAACCAGTAAACCTCACCACTGAATGTAAGGCGAGATCTCAGATTACGCTGGGAAACCACTGTCAGCAAAGTTTAAAAGCCTTCGGCAATGCATAAGCTACCTCCATCTGTTTGCTTAACTGATCCAAAAGAGCTTTAAGAGTACAGTCGTTACATTAACCAATGAAATTATTATTTGTTAATCCGATCCATAGTCCTGAAATTCGAACTGACTAATTGATGATTGATTTACAATAATACACATAGTCCCAGTGGTTTACTTGCTTTAACATCCAATATTAACGAAACACGTTTATTCTTCCTGTATAGGGAAACTGAAATGATTTACCACGATTTTGATTGTTTGAGGAATTTAATCAAATCTAAGGAAACGATGAAAACTTCGAAGCACTCAACACACCTTTTTTACGGCTGATCCTATTCATTGGATAACAAAGTTTGTACTCAATAATTCAGTCTATTTTCATTTTGTCGTTGTTTCTGTTATTACAAATAATCTGCGTTGTGTTGTGAAGTTCTCAGTCATTAGTTTAGTCACTCAGTTACCATCTAGTAGTTCGTGAGTTCGAACCGCTTCGCCTACCAAGGTTTGGGCGGCTGGGTAGTATCATTAACTCTCACATAATAGGTGCGGCTCACTTCCTATTGCACAAACGTGTGCGCAATTGAGGTTGTTTCCATTTTCCGCTTTTCACTTTCATGTTTGATTAACCTCATTTCACCTAGCCGCTTGTCATCGCTTCGAATCACCATTCGTCTATATCGTTTTGAGTTGCTCAATATCTGATATCACAAAGCTGTTCTTCAGCGTGATATCAGATAAAGATATCATGAAACTGTGTGTACCATTTAAGCTTGCTAATTTCAAAGCTCGTACTTAAATGCAGACCAAACAACATATAGGTTAGGCTAGGATTCTGAAGAAGCCTCACTGCTTGTTATACCTTAGAGATCTCCATACAAAATTTCAGCCAGGAGATTTGAATGACTTTTCGATTAATTAGTTTGATCTTTAATGTGCGCTTGCTTCAGAACCATATGTCACCAGTATTTGACTTGCTAGTGTTACTGTCCCACTTAGATCTACAGACAGAGCTGAACTACTCCACTGGATTCCCATTAACAGTTCACTAGTATCAAATTCAAATGTTCTATAGATTAAAAGGTCACTAGCAAAAGAATAGGTTTTAACCCATCATTTATGTTTATGCCCCCCAAACAAATACAGCTACAAATGAGTCTTACTATAAGGTGAATCCCCTGCTTAATCAAGTCAGCTCGACAGACAACGTACCAGCTGGGGAATCGAGTGTAAAAATCGGGGATATAAGTGCATAGGACGGTTGATCCGGTTGCCAGCAGGGAGTAAAATAATAACAAATACAACTCAACTCGGTGCAGGCGTTTATTTACTAGGCTATGAACCACACCTATTGTGTGAGATCTAACGGTACTTACCAGTTGCGTTGGGGTGAAGTAGGTGGATCGGAGTGTGAACCCGATACTTACTGGTTTTAAGTTGAGTGATTAAGCCACAGTTACTCCAGTGGGAGATATTCGGTCACATATATGAAGATTGTTTGGTATGAACAAATTCCATATTAGACATCTTATTTCATTGTCTTGTCTTCAACTATCAACAGGCTACTGATAGTAAATTATTGCAACGAATAAAGACTAACCTATCTTATGAATTAAAATTCAAAACCTATTATAGGGAAGCAGGTATTGGTAGCAACAAATAATTCCTGAAAATCAATAAATAACCTAGCGTTTGACGATACTCAACATTGATGCTGACTTGCAAAGCTAAAGGTACATGGCCAATCATCTACGCCACTTAGCAAATAGTCGCCTCACGTTGCGTTGCTCGTTAACGATCTTCTAGCCGGCCATTCATGCATCTACGTAAATTAGCGCGATTCATCGCACTTAAGATTCCTACTTAGCTATCCTAGTTTTTTTTAGTCTCGCACTCGTGAGCACTCAAAAAGTAAGAAGAATTAGTATTTGGCCTCTACACCTGTCACAATCACGTATGGACAGTTCCTAAACTGATAAATCCAACTGCCTTAGTGACAAACCTGAAAATTCTTACATTCCATTACCTCCTTTTCTTCTCCGTTTTAGTTATAATTACAACTCATTGATTTTTATGCTATTTTATAATATTACTATTTTACTGAATTTGTTGTTGTGCTACTCAAATATGTGAAGGAAACCAAATGCATGAAATGAAGGATGTTTTTCGCAACTTTGTGAGGATTACAACCTGTTATGAGGGCAACACCATCTTCACACAGAGCCACTATAGGTGTGCTACCTGATATCCTTTATATGCTATTTGAGCTTGAATTCAAGTAGATCACCTTCGATTAACTACCGATGGCGCGGATGTATTCAAAAGTGCCATCACTTTTAGAGCACCTGCTTGGCGAAATTCGAAGAATGTCTGGATAACAAAAAAGGGTGTCTTATAGTTCTTTGCAGCTTCACAAAGATTACCAGTCCATCTCAGTGGATAGCGAATGCAATAATATGCATCAGTTTTCGACGCAATTACATAAGGACCCCAAGGTTTGGTTGACACAAACAAGTGAGATGGAAGCTGCAGCTGTATCTCACAATAGCTGGGAATTCTCCATCTTGAAAATATTCTCGAGACTGAATATCTGGTTATTCGTTTACCTGCTGAGTATTTTTCCTTTCATTTCCTTTATATCAATTCCTATATCTTCTTGATATTGTTACATTAATCTGTGGTGCATTTCTTATAATCCATGATGTATCAGGTTTGTATTTTCATAAGCAAATACATAAATATTGAAACAAGCAACGAATGTGATGAAAGCAGGATTTAATGACTTCATTAGTTTCAGCAGAACTCGTCAGCTACATCATAGACATGCGCCAATAAGAAATGCAAGAAAACATACGTGCATACATACATGAAGTAGTTTAGGACATCGATTTAGGTGTAAAGACATAAAATGAATAACTTTTACAGGTCAGCTGGTAATGCAAAAAGTAGGAGTGAAGTGGATGTTCAAACTGCGTAGGTTGAAGACATATTACAAAATCAAATGGGAACTTGGATAATGTGGATTTCGGGTGAGAAAATACTGATTATAATGAAAATACTAGTCTGGACATTGGGGTGAGAACTGAGTCGGTTGAGAGTAGATTATTTGTTCTGAAAAAGGTGGTCAGTAGTCACTTAGGGCGACATCATGAGAAAAACAGGTGAGCATTGAGATAACATTTATGAATTCATTAAATCCTGTTCTTTTGACATTCGTTACTTATTTTAAACTTGTATTGGGAAACAAATGTAGAAGCATTTCAGATTAATTGCAATCAAACAAGTAGTTGTAACTATAAAAAAGACTGTATATGCCAGCACAATATTAACATGAATAGTAAGAATTAAGAAGACAGCAGTTGAGAGAAAACAGCTACGAAAACGCTTAACATGTTGCATGATTTCTTCAGCCAATATGTGTCAACATCTTAAAAACTCGAGATAAAGTTTATGACTTCCTACGATGAACAATAGTAAATCCCACACCACACACCACTGTAATCCAGTTTCATCCAGTACTGCAATGAAAAATGGGCATGGACAAGAATTAACCCACATATTTGCATTGGCTAAGAATTGGGCATTTCTTTTTCCAGTCCACTACAAAATAACCTGTCATCTTAAAACTGAATATTTGATGGCTCCGCTACATGTACCCGGATGGCACAGACAAAGGATGAACAAAAATTGAATATACATTTATCCAAGCTAAGGCATAGTTAGGAGGGTAGTTATGCTGCATACATAACACACAAACAGCGTCAATATGAGACCTGGCATTACTGCGAAAAAATCAAGGCTGATACACCACATATCAGTAGAAAACAGAATACATCATGGCGAAGAAAATAATTTTAAAAAAGCCGTTAAAAGCAGTCAAGAGTTGTAAAGCCATAAGGAACAGAACAATAATTAAGTTTGATGTGACAGTTACGATGAAACGAATATACAAATGGATCTGCACCGTTGAGACCCATAATGACTGACAAAAACCTAGTCTCCAATCCCCAATTTTAACTGTCAAAAAACGTCCTTGCAGTGTTGTTCACATATAGTAGAATCACCGTGTGCGCGAATTCAAAGTTGGAATGAGAATGCTAGGCAAGATAGGCAACTAAGTTGATGAGATTGTGAACCCTTGCCGAATGAGGTGACCGGCACATATAATAGGCATGTCCAACCAATTACAATCGTAACCTAAGTAGGAATGGGTCGGAAGAAGGATCATAGTAACCAGACCAGGATGTGGGACCAGTTCATGAAGTCTCTGACTCTTAGTCTTAGTAGTGTAAGGAGGTGTAGACTTATGAAGTACTAGAGAAAATTTGTAGATTAAAATGATGTAATTTTTTGGTGTTTACAGACCTTCGAAGTTTGTTCTGGTACCTTTCATCACCAGAAAAGGTGACGTCAACAGTATTTACTTTATATATATATATATATATAACAGACTATCTAGTTAGGTTTATAGAGAAAGTAGAAATCAATAATTGAAGATACTTTCTCACATAGCTAAACAACGGTTACAATGGAGTGATATATTTGTTATTATATTATTATTATTATTATATTTGTATTTATTTTTCAAAGTTTGAAGACTCTTAACAATTACGATTTTCAAATGCTTTCTCCCCTAATGCACTTTTGTCATACTCGATATCACTGTTTTCCCACCCATGCGCTCCAATGCATGCTACTGTGAAGTGTGGCAAATGGATTCGATGCAATTCTGCAAGATGTCCTATGTCGATTTTATCTATCTGTATACCAAAGAATGAATATAATACACGCCAGTCAGTTTTGTTCAATTTTGCGGATGAAAGTCACTGAAAGTGAATCAAAGGTATTCGATCATAACTAACTTCAAAGTAAGTGAGTAACATAAGAGTTAGCTATTAACTTTTTAAAATGGAAAAGGATTAATCGTAGGTCGATCTCTTGTAATAAATAAAGTAGCTAGAGTATCATAAATTTGCCACAATGTTTTGGAAAAAAGGCCAATAGCTAGATAGGATGCAAAAAGTCTGAGTTTAGAAATTGATCACAATAACATCACTCCGCTCCTTTGAAATTTTGAATATCTTGTCATGCTAAACTCATGTATACACTTATCCGTTTATTTTCAATGCTGACAAAACTTTGGCAACTAGGACAAAGATTTTGTTGTGAGATATTTCACACTGTTTTATTCATCTGAAATAGATGAATCATCATTTTGATTATTTAAAATAGTCGTGGTTTGGCAGACTAGCATTTGTAATGAGTGATGACTGGAGGTGAAATGAAAATCTAGACTGCGGCCGGATTCGAACCAGCGACCGCCGGGCTTCCTGCCCAGTGCTCGTAGCTCCGTTGGTAGAGCACCGGGCTCTCGGCCCGGCCGCGGTCCAAATTTCCATTTCACCTTCAACCATTACGCAGTATACATGAAGTTCAGAAACTTCTAGACAGTCAGTTTCGAAAGTGACCCGACAAATATTTCCGAACAATTCCTTTACATGACTGACTGACGGTAATAATTGTAATGCAACTGAAGAGGAATATTTAAATTTACTTTCAAGTAAACACGCAGAAGCAGTTTAAGTTGACATAACCACTGTGACCAAAATACAAAGAAGTCATTATTTTACAAATAATTAGTGCTAGGAGAATATAGTCTGTTGAAATTCTGGGTTAATTTTTCCAGACTCAAAATGCAAACCAAAAAAGTGAAAAGAGGAGAAATAATACAGATTTCATTTAAAGTACAAGAATTTACAATATAAGACCATCAATTTGGATTTCTAGGAAATGAAGGTCAAGTGTCCTTAAAAATGTATTTCATAATGCATACTAGAAAATGATTTCAAAGTCAACCTACATTTCTTACTTTTACTCAGAAGAATCATCCTCTAATTTATCTTGTAACATAATCCTGGTTCAGATTTCCTGACAAACAGAGTGACAAAAGGAAAAAATCAACGTAGAACCTCCCACGGAGGTGTTTCGGTTCAAGTTGCCACAATTCACAGTAGCACGCACAGAACAAGTGGACGGGAAAAGACTGATATCAAAGTGGACAAGAATGTATAGGGGGAAAGGGAAATTAAAAATGGAGATTAGTGGCAGTGGCAAAGAGTGGATACATCTTCACCACTGTGACCAGTTTTCAGCCAAGTCACCAAAAGTCTCCAACCACTGACTCCTTTAGTTTCGAGGATCCTAAGGGCTCACACCAATAATCAAGGACTTCATGGACTGATGTCACGTCTTTTTCTACCTACCCTGGGTTTATTCCAACCCAATCTAACTTCTGCTAGCATAGTACATTAAGGCAGCGGCTCAGCATGGGTAACACATATCCAAGCCACCCCATTAGATGAAGGTTCACAACTTCACTTTACATCAACACTGCTCACAGTTCAGATTCGCAGGATGATAATTACAAGCAATAACAACGAACGACTATGGCCCTTCATTACCTCATAAAGAGAATGATGAATCTTTCAATGACTTTCCGGTTTTATGTGTTCAGATGTGCATAAAATAAACAATACAAATTAGTGATACAGAAAAAGAATATGCGGTATTTTAATTAATCCAGAAAGAGCGAGATTACAAAACCAAAGAGATTCGATACTTTACACATTCACAGAACCAGTGCTGCTTGTCTGAGTTCGGTCAGCTGAAAGTTGTCTGTATGGAGAATAGTGTGTCAACCGTTGGAGCAGCGAATTGCAACACCAAATATTCGGATATCTACCAAGTACAGGACGGCTGTACATAACCAAACCAGTGGAACAGGGTATTAATGAAAGCCCGGAATTCACAGCAGTAAAAACTCTTGTCACTAGATGTGAATTAGAAATCTAAAACAGTAAACAGAAGACGAAATAATTTGTTGGGGTTACACATTCCAAGAACGTAACTAGTTTGAATTTTCTATGAACTGCTGGAAACTTTAAAGCCTGAAGATAAGCATGGAGGTGAAACTGTAGTCAAGGAAGTGACTGCGTTGTTTGAGAGGGTATGGCACACTGATTGCTTCCTCACTCAATAATATAACCAATGTTGAACCAATCACTAAACAAAGTTCAAGGAATGAGTGTTAATTATCGGGGTATCAGTCTACTGCTAGTAACACTTAAAATATTGACTGCTATTAACCTTCACAGACCCAGCAAGATGCATGAAAATTTAATCCACAAGAAGCAGGTCAGGTTCCGTTTAGGTCGTAGATGCATTGGTCACATGTTCACCCTAAGAGAGAGGTTCGAACACCGTCAAGCGTACTGCAGGGCAACGACTGTTTTATTTCTCAATAATTGGACCGTATTCGATTCCTTAAACAGGACTTTAGTATGGAATTGTTTCTTAGAGACGGATGTTCCTGAAAAGTTGGTTTATACTCTGAAAGCCGTATTATACTCCAGCATCTCAGATAGAAAAAAAACCGTAGTCACCTCTCTCCATTATTTCTAAATAACAGTGAAGTTGAGGACTCTATGATTCAGCCATTCTTTTTTAACGCTAAAATCGACAGTCTCGAAGGAGGCGCGTGGTGGTGTAAACCTGTTACCAGGTGAACGACTCTTCGACTAAGAGTATGCGGACGATATCATTTTACTGTGTCATGACACTCAATCAATTAGCGATCAGTGTCTGTGTGAAATGTGCTTTGTGCTATCAAGATTCATGGTGCTTCTATAAGATTGGCAAGACCCTGCATTAACACAACCTTGTTTGTGAACAATTGGAGTTTGTCGAAAATTTTGTGTGCCTGTGTATTTATTTCAGGGTTGATGATACGACTGATGAGATTTCCAGTCATATATCGGAAGTCAGTAGCATGTGTCAATCTGAGTCACCTTTGGTGCTGTTGCGACGTTAATCTTGCTGTACAAGGTCAGGTATGCGACGTATCGGTCCGGGCAGTTCTGCTCTACGCCTGTGTAACTTGGTGTCTCCAAGCCGAGGATATCCAACGACTGTGTCTTCGATCCCCATTGTTTCCCCAGGATTGTTCGCGTCCGAAGAGAGGCAGCGTGGGGTTCAGGCGTGGCTAGGGTTATCCAGTGATGACATCGTGAAATATCAATTTCGGTGGCCCGAATATGTATTACTTATATCATCCCAGCAGATTCCACACCGCTCACTGTTCCCTCGCCCTCAGACTGGTTGGGAGAAGCGAAGAAGTGGTTAGTGTGCTACGTGTTTGCGCGGGATGAAAGACGGTTGTAATAAGTTAGCATCTGTAATAGCCTCATGACTCCCCGGATAGTGTTCGACAGAATACACAACTCGGTGGGCCGAAACTGTGGCACAAGCCGGTCAGGATCGAAAACACTGACAATGAAATTACAACTTTCTCTTTTCTTCAATTACCGACAAGTAAAACGAAAGTAGTGAGAATTTCTTTGGGTGTATGTTAGAGATGGCTTCTCTAATAAGCTATTTCTGTTTCTGTATCTAGTCTTTCTTAAAGGTTTATGCATTCTTAGAGTTGCTTTATAAGCTTTTTTGGAGCACCTTTCGGTATCCATCTTGTGTCAAGACTATTCCAAACAAAATATACGATAAGTAGACAGAACTATATGGAAGCTGTATCATACAGCAGTGCTTAATGCTGGATAATACGAACTGATGAACTAACAGTTTTGCGTTTACATCGAAACTTGATAGTTCAATACTTAATCCTGGCTGTAAGTGAGGAAGCACAAAGTGGAAAGTAATACCTGTTTAATATTCAATAGTTTTTAAGTGACATTCGCAGATGCAGACTATCTTCAGCATAGATTAGAAAATAAACAATTGGCTACTGCAGGCGCTTAAACAATGTACAACAAAAATAGACTATTCCACAAAATATTTTGGTCAGACTTTTTAGAAAACTACGGGGAAGCATGGTACGAACACTGTTTTTTGTTGTGAATCTATCTCGAAACTTCTGCAAACAGCATTCAGTTAGGGAGGTTACATAAACTGCTGTATCATTCCTTAAAATTACAGACTTCATATCACTTGGAGAAACAAATAGAAAACTAACGAACACTACTGATCAACACGGTAAATATCGTGGAAGTTAGAGAACATTCATATCGACCTCGAGACCAGATAAAAAGGGCTATTAAAGTTTCTTCAAATTGTTGCTGAGATTTTTCCAACACGATGACATCCCAAAAACACTACGGGTATAATAAAAAAAATTATACTGACGAAAACAAATAAATTACCTTGTATGATGTGCCTGTTGAAAAATATCCCCAAGAAATAGCAGCTATCAAACAGCACCAATAAATGATAGTAAGTAACAGCGACATCCAAAGAGATACATAAAACTTCCGCAGCTAAGAAAAAAACAGTTTTTAGTATAAATTTTCGTTACAGGATCGTAGAGCATAAAGTAAAGTATACTGAACTGTACAAACGACCAACGATAAGAAATGTCTAGACCCCAAATATGGCTGACTCACCGTTAGCTGTTTGTCAGAAAACTAATAATAAGTGTGTAACTAACTGCAAAAGACGAAACTAAGCGACACAACCAGATGGAATCAGTGTAAAAGTTTGGCACTTCAGCCACAGGTCACAGACCAAAACAACATTAAATTATGAAGGTAGATTTACTTATCTGGTGAAATGTACCCTTATTGGATGAAGTTAGCCAGGTATGTTAAATCGATGTTTAGGAACAATAAGCGTTAAGATAAAAAGACAGGTGAACTACATATGTATCCTGTGTCACTCATTATACATACACACCTTCCGAATGTATGTTCCCCTGCTTTTGGCTATCATCATTCTTCCTGTATGTCGTTTCGACGTGAAGCGGCAGATAAAGTCCCGAAATCAATGGCCTATAATTCAACAATATTCGAAATCAGTGTTGAAATCCATTGTTTTAAAGGACTTGTATAATTAGAGGGACGTGAATAAGCCGCCAGAGCTTTCGACAAGCTGTCAGGTTACGTTGTGCTGGACCTGTAAGATGACCTGACCAGGCATCCCTGTTTCATGAACGATTTTAAAAATATGATCTCTCTAACATTCTTTTAGGTTGGTATTCATAATAGTGACAACAGCTGGGGAATTTCCGAGTCAGGCGAGCACGTCATCATTGAGCCAGTGAGTTGGAATGTAATGGTTCACGTCTTCCCACTTCTGTCTATTCGCAACACTGCACGACCTTTATCCAATGGCATCATTGCTTATTTGTCTTCGCATTTGACTTGGTTCGCCCTACCGGTCACGACTGCTCATTAGAACTTCGGGAAATCTCATGTTGAAGTAAGTCATCAATGAGCATTGGATAGCAATTCAATTCGGACGTTTGTGGGGACTTATTGATCTTCAATTGGTATTCATCACCTGAAGGTCTTGGGTCTGATTCCTGGTAGGGTAATGAGTGCCTGTTGTTGAGGAGCCTCATACTACGACAAAACAGCTGTCGTGTGCTTCCAGATTTCCAGTGGTTATCAGAATGATGTCAGTCCGTAATGAATACCAAGCTGAAATTGATAAACTCCTACAAACCTCCAAAATCAAATATGATTTTATCCAAGAGCTCTTCTGGATGAACTGGACTACGACAACCAGAACAGTAGCTGCAGAATGAGATGATGTCGTTTTATCTGACAGTGCATTATTCATCGGCTGTGATAACCATATATAACTCAGTCTGACAAAGATAATTTCTCAGATACTATGTTCTATGTTCACTAAACACACCCGAGACAATCAGACCCAGTTGTGTGTCAACCAAATTCTCACGTTTCATCAGATCTTGAAACATATTTACCAGTGTCAGACACTGAATTGACTTTCTAATCTGAAGGCGGCGTTAAACCCCATCGATTGAGTGGCCTTACGATAATCTCTTTCGCTGAAACAGATACCAACTAAGCACATCACTCCGTTAAAAACTATGTTCGAACATCTGTGATTGTATCAGAACCCATGATGGGTTGCTGGGTGAGTTACCTATCAGGAGTTGTATCCATCAAGAATATTCGATTTCTCTATTCTCATTTAAATGTCTCCTCACCTGACTTTACAGAGATTGACACTGTCAGAAGAGATTCCTTAGGTGATGTAGAGTAAACAGATGTGCTAACAGAGAACCTTCTATCCCCGCTCAACATTAAAAGGATGAATCTATTTGAAGCGAAATCCCCCAGCAGATCCAGAATACGCAAACAGTAAAGTCGGTGTAGACAAAGAAGGTGACAACAGCCTTTTGGACACTAAGACTGCTGGAGTGGATATTATCTAGACTTTAATATCTAATGTCTGGTTGATGTTTTTGATGTACGGGGGCTACCATTCGCAAGTGCCACTTGCAACGAGAAACTTATTAGGACATTACTTTAACAGACGCGAATCTGTTGATATGTAAATACCCAATTGTGTTTTAAAATAAAAAGTAGAGACTCGATGATACCATAAATCTACCTCGGCTAAAGTGACCTCCTTATTGAAATATTGTGGAACAGCCAAACAACTGAGCATGCCACGGAGGGTTCATTTGGAGTGAGCTGAACCGGTGGATTTAAATCTTCGAGGTTTCAAGTACGCTCACTTGATGAATATCAAGAAGCACGAAATCTAAGTTATGAACTCCATATTCACTATCTCCCATAATGCAAAACGTTTTGATTACGAAAATACAGAAAAGTTGAAACAAGCAATTTATGTGATCTAATATACATTAGTCAACTAACTAAAAACCACTAGTTAGCTTGCATTTTTAGAAGTGAAGACTTGTATTTGTTGAATTATGTGACTAGCTATACGGTTTAATAATAATGGTCAAAAACTAGATGTACTCATTTAGCGAGACAAACGGACGGTGCTTCATCAGCCGACAGGTAGAAAACGTGAATCCCAGATAAGTGTCACAGAACGTATAATTTTATTTGTGCTAAAAGTCGTTTTACTTATGACCTAAATGGTAACATTGTTGTAAAGTTCGGTTCAAGAGCTTTTGACTGACTCACCTTACCCGTTTCTTTATGATCTATACATCAGAAATAACTCCATGTTGAGTGAAACCCACTGTTGTGCATTATCCTGTACTTCCTGCTTGAAATCAGTTGTGATATCTCTATCAATTATGGTGCGTTGCAGTCAGGTCATTTAGCTGTATATACAGATGGACTAGGTCACCTGTAATATTTGGACAGTCAAGCACCAGACTTTGAGTCCTTATGTACGCAGTTGGGAAGGCGGAGTTGCATGACCCATTGTGGGGGAGGATTGATTATACCAGCCTAGAAAAGTATATTCGACATCAACCACTTGCGAGGTCAGTGTAAAGACCGAATCCGCAGAATCACGTGCTTGAGGTAACTGTAATTAGGCAAAGCCACACAGGAAAAGTCAACGTGAATCTCCCACACAAGTGCATCGATCTAAGTTGATACACTGGGGGGCAAGCAAAAATCAGCAAGTGCAAAAGGAGTGGTACGAAAGTACAAAACAGTGCAACAAGGGAGTATGAAATAAGTTAAAGTTAGTGAAACTGTTAAAAATTTGTACCACGTTAAAACGTGAATACGCCAATACTTTTGTGACCGACTTTTAGGCATGTCACCAAATCTCCAAACATTGATTCTTTTTATCCCAAGGAATTTGACCACGCCATCTACACCCACTACACAGCCTAGACCAACAATCACAGATTTCATTGACTGGTGCTACATCTCAGTCTGGCAACCCTTAGCCTTCTTCCAAACCAAACCTACTTCAACTGACACTGTATGTCCAAGTAGAAGGTGGATCATCAAGCGCAATCCATATCAACCAAATACCCTCCAGACGGTAGGTCAGTCAGAGGCCAGACTGAAACATGGCATCAATGCATGAAGTCGTTGAATGTTCGTTTAAGCCATGTAGGGCGATGCGGAGTAGCCAGTTGGGGTCCAGGGGACAAGAAAAATCAGTGGTCATAGACTTTCGGTGATACGGCTCGGAATCGATATCAGTAGCGCAGATGTATGCATCTTAATCGTTATACTTAATCTCATCATTTTTGTATTCCTCCTTCCTGTTTTACTGCTTCCAACTTTTCACCGATTTTCTTTCTTTCCTCATCTTCCATTTAATTACCTTGTTACTTGATGCGATGATATGTGTGACAAATTGGACCGTTACGTAGTAATGCTTGGTCCTTTGTCGATTATGATGATGAGGTCAATCGATTCCTGTGAAGTCACAGGCATCAAAAGTTATGTCAATTAGTACATCTACAACGAAGCTAAACAGCGATGGTAACAGCGGGCATTCCCAGTGTACACCAGTAGTTAACGTCATTTCACACGATAATCACGAATAAACCTTTATATGGTTCTGTGGGTTGGAGTAGAGAACTATGATTACTGCTACATACCTCCTCGGTACTCTTTTCCCAATCGGACATTCCCACAACGCCTCACGGTCGACAGGGTCGAATGACGTATTCGGGTTGAGATATATCGCAGATGTCGGTCACCAGCAAGTATGTCCACGTTCCAGAATAAGTAAAAGGGTGAAAATTTGATCGATGCACCCATATCCAGGTTCGGAACCTACCTTGTCTTCTCGAGCTCCAATTAGGCGTCGGATAACTATGGATTAAAAGACCTTGTACACGATATTAGTTAAACTGATTATCCTATGCTTATTACAAAAAGACTCCTCTACCTTCCCATAGACTGGAACGACCGAGGCCTGTAACATAAGAGCTTTACAAGACTGTTGGGTTGAGCTTTCATTTTCTTAACCCTGGACCAGGACATTTCACATTTCCGGCGCAAGTATATTGTAGGGCAAGGTAAAGCCTACTGTTTTTAAGGCCAGCCTTTTTCTAACAACCTTTACCTACCTAATTGCGATCCAGCCTCAGCATGGCAGTGACGATAATCCCCGGGAAACCCACTAGTGTTAAGCCTCCAGACAGTCAGCAGTTCGAATTTGCCCTCAGATGACCATCATGACCTACCTATTTACATAATGAAGGTAAGTGCATTTGTAGCATGAATACCCAAGAAACATTTGTGGCATGGTAGGACCTCATGGAACAAGTGTTCCAGCTAGCGTGGCTCTGAGTCACTACGATATGGAATTCAGACCACCACGTCAAAGAAGCAGTTAACGATCGGAAAGTAACGGATACAAGATAATCAGTACATTCTGAAATTCATTTGGAAAGGTAGGAACGAAGTGAGTTTTTAGGTTTCTATGATGACAAAATAGAGAAGTACACATACTAAAAGTGCCATACGAGCGAACTACTCAGCTGGGAAGCTATTATGATTGTATCAAACAACGTGCTAAACTACTCAATCGGGAAAGGACAAAATACCGACTTTTCAAAGCCACTTGTGTTCACCAATTTACATGTACTTGCGGAAGCAGGTACATTGGAAAAACAATTATCTGCCCACATTTTTGAGCATGTACTAATGAATTTCAGTCTCGATGGTCACTTTTTTTAGCAGTGTGTCAACTCATCATCTAGAAGGCATTTGACATGAAATTAACGTGTTAGAAGCCAAAGAACTGTCAGCAAACCAAAGTTGTCAAGAGTTAATAATGAAGTGAATGAAACTATTGAAATATGAAACAAAATTTGAAGTCAGGATTCACTCATGTAATGAATAAATGACATTTGAACCTGGAAGGGTCCTTTCAGTTGACATATTCATAATCACATACTATTTGCGTACAACTGCATGCCTGGTAGGTTATTTCATCACTGGTAGACTACTTGTAAAATGATTTGTCCGTCTGCATTTAGCGACCATGTCACATAACTACAAAGCGACGATATTTGATGGCGTTCCCTCATCGTTAGGCACACAAACTTCGAAGTTAAGATGAATGAAAGCCTAAAAAGCAATACGTTGCAAACCATAGGGGAACAATGTGCAGACTATTGAGTGAGCCAGTCAAATAGACAGTGGCAGCCGACTCCCATACCATTTCTCAAGATGTCTTGGAGAGGTCACCTCGAAATTTTTACGGTATTTTATAATACTCTATACCGCAAAAATATGTACAGTGATAAGAGGCACCAATTAATGAGGGTTTATGCAATTAGACAACCAATGGGCAGAAGATTGATTCTAAGTAGGACAACTTACAGACGTAAAGCGTTCACTCACAACAGTACGCAAGGCCATAGCGCCAGTCAAAAACATCTAGGAGCTGTATGACATAGTAGCACACTTACTAACACACCTGAGTAGATTGGTATGCCATAAGCATTTGCTAAGTTGAATTCTACTGGATATTTCTTGTTATCAGTTGGAGAAAGTGACGGAATTAATACAACATCCAACAGTCCTGGAGCTAAGTTAGGTAATAAGCTTTAGCTACCCAGAAATGCACTAGCAAGACCGAAAAATACGAAACAAAATCCCAGCAGTTGTAAGCCATTCATATATCTAACCAAGAGGAGTTCTCCAGATTGCAACAAAAGGTAACAGTCTCTCGTGTTTGAAATTATTTCGGGAGGAACATACTCATGCGACCTTTGGGTCATTCTGACGGTTTGTATCAGAAAAGCACACCAGTACCGATCCTTTTCAAAAAACGCTGCTAATTCAAAAGATTGGACTTCAAACTTCGTGTTGTAGAATTAGTGAACGGCAGTTCCTTGGATTCTACGTCTGTCTTATTGGAGTACGTTCTGGTTTTAAATGGTCAAAATTATCTTCCCGGTTCCGAAAAACCTGATAGATGTAATCGATTATTAATTAATCTGGTTTAAAGGTAGTATTACTGTACCTAATCTGCAGATGACGGAAAGCTTCTCGAGTACAGCCCATCGGTACAGTAGGACTCAAGGCGTGTGTCTAACTTCCTTTTGAAAGTATCAGTGGATTTGCTATGACAACTGCCGAAGTAAGCCTCACTGTTTAAAAAGGGGAGTGACTTTTAATGTTCAGCTGGATTCTTGGTATTTTCATGTGTTTACACATCAAAGGCTGTTGTATTTTTGCTCTAGTCGGAATATTAGTCGGTTAAAGTGAGACAGGAACTTTTGCTTGGTGAACGTCCGTAGTTTCTGCTACATGATGGGCCGAAAGTGTCGTAAAAATGCTTGTGGTAGGGACAGGTGCTACTTCACAATGGCCACTGGTATCCAGTGTAGCAAATGTAAGAGTCGGTTTCGCGATAACTGCGCAGGCCTCATGCCTTCAGCATATCAGAGGTACAGAAGGCAGGAAAGGTCTGGCTTTGTACATTGTGCCGTTGGATATGTGCGGTCTGCTAAAAGAAATAAAAAACTTCTAAGTACGATAAATAAGAAACTGTCCTCGAAAGTCAAAGCCAATAACTGTGATAGTGATAATGATACAGCATTCCTTGACACAGATTGCCGTGCAAAATTTTAAGAATGTCTAATGACTAGCTGTAAATCGAGCGCGCAGACTACCTATCAGGTTTGCCGACAGTGACTTGGAAAAAACTACACCAAGCAGGGTGAAGCGAGTATCCTCTGGATCTCGTATCCCCAGAGCTGGAAGACCCAGTCTGAAAACTGCTGACAGTAAGACTAGGTCTACTTCAAATGAAAGAAACAGGGGTGATGCGCTCTCAGTGCCGACGACGGAACCATGCAGGCAGCCGGTTACACCCAGTTCGACGACCCAATGATTGACGAAAATCACACAGAATTGGATGCACGTCCGTTCTGAGGCTCGCAGTGTCAGGGCCACTGGACTGGGCTTCGGTATACCTTTCATACCCGACTCTGAGAAATGGCAAGTAACTAAGCCCCAGTGGCACGCTGAAAAACCAATGACGGTCACCGAACCGGCTATCGTCACTCCACAAAACAAAGGCAAGGTAGAGCTCCTTGACAGCTCCGCAATGTTCCACAGAGTGGAAGAAAGTAGAGACCTAGAACCACGCAAGCGTCTTGAACATAATCTTGGCAAGTCACAAAGTTTGATAAACCAGATGTTGCCAGAAAACATGCAGGGAGCCACCCTGTTTAAGATATACAGACTAGGAAAACAGGAAACAGTCATTACTGAAGATAAGGTTCTGCTACTTAGTCGTATTCAAGTCAGCTGATGAGAGGAGTCAGATTCTGTGGGACGCTTACAGGCTTCAAGGATCTAGAGCGTTCGTGCGAAAGGATCTGGCTCTTGCTGATCGAATCAAAAAACGAGAGGCAGAAGCAGAACTAAAATCCAGACCAGCAGCGGGGGGGCAAGATCTAAAATTAGTGGGTTTTCGTATAGTGAGGTTTCAGCAATAAATGATGCCGAGGCCTCTATGGATAGGACGGAAACCCGCTTAATTAATTCCAGTGTCCTGCACACAAATGCAAATAGTCTCTTAAACAAGTGTGATAAGCAACGACATCCCTGACATGATTGCCATCTCACAAACTTGGTTCCCTTCTTGGATCAACCACTGTGAAACGCACTTGCGGGGATTCATCCCTTTTAGAAGCGACAGACTAGGACGCAAAGATGGTGGTGTCATCCTTTACGTTAAGAACACCTTAACTGTAAAAGTCATAGAAACAGTTGCACATGAAAGTGGAACATATGAAATGCTGCCCTGCCGATTACAATGCAAGGGGAAAGATGTTTAATTAATCGCAATATATCAAAGCCCTGAATATGAGGCAGCAGACATCCTCTTGAATAAGCTGACCCTCCGGACACAAATGTTGATGTCTAGCTGTAGGAGACTTCAACACACCATCAGTTGACTGCGATGGACTAGCAACAAAAGCACAACGTAATTCGTTTGACCACCGGCTGGTGGAGATATCAATTTACTTAGCCCTCATATAGAATGCTAGGATACCAACCAGATATGATCATCGACATGCTCCATCGGTTTCAGACTTAGTATTTTTACATACAGATGATGTATGTTTCATCCGGCACCCAGCAGCCCTTGGTAAAAGTGATCACGCTGTGATCGTCTTAAGATTCGTAACAGACATCTTGTACCAGACCGATGCTCCAGCTACACCCAACATATGGAAAGCGAAGTTGGAAGCCATTAACCCGGAAGCCTCTTCGAAGAACTGGACAGTCAATCCATAGGTCTCCGTTGAAGGTGCGTGGCGCTCCTTCAGACAGTTATATCCACGAGTGACCCAACCTTTCATTCCATGGACTGTCACGAGGGGACAGAAACACCGTCTTCCGTGGATAAACCACGAAATTCAAATCTTGCTGCGACGTAAGAAAAATTGTTGGAATCTTGCTACCCACCTCGATACACTCGAAGTGGTGAAGCATTACAGAGAGGCCCGCGTTGAGCTCATTGCTGCTATCCACTGGTCCCAAATGTGCTTTGAAACACGTCTTGCACGGGCTGCATTGCAGCGTCCGAAGAGGTTATTTTCCTGTATGAACCATAGACATGAGATGTGTCGTGGTATACCCTCCCTAATCAGTGGGACAGAAAATGGCTATTTGATTGGGGACGATAGGAAAAGAGCAGAATCCATGGCTGGGTATTTTGCTGAGGTCTTCACACAGGAATCCTCTGTGGACACTTGTTCAACAGCAGAAGCATAGACATCCAACAGAATAAGATCTGTGGATTCTGATAGCAATTGTGTATTTCAGATATCAAGTAATCTCGACGTGAAAAAATCACCGGGACCGGATGAGCTGCACCCGGGGTGCTCGGAAAGCTTCCGCTTTATATCGCCGGCCCACTGACTACTATATTCAGGCCCTTGCAGTGAAGGCACACTCCCCTATGACTGGAAGAATGTCATGGTAATACCCATCCTTAAGGCAGGTTCTAGGCAGCTCCTATCAAATTACAGACCGATAAGTTTGGCTACTACTGTGGTGAAAATCCTAGAAAAAGTAATCAAGAAAGCCATCATAGTCCACCTAGAGAGCAACACTCTTTTGTCTCGTTCGTGGCACAGTTTTCGTAGAAATTTCTCTTGCTTGACAAACCTCTCTGCGGCCAGAGGAAGTTGGGTTAAGTCTAAAGATGTGATACCTGTAGATGTCATTTTCATAGACTTTAGTAAGGCATCCAACAAGGGACACACAACAACATCTACGACATTGACGGGACTCCTTTACCATCAGCACTGACTCGCAATGACCCATGAATCACACTGAGTTATGACTTCGAAACCACGGCTCATTGTCGATTGGTAGTAGTTCGTGGTTTTAGGGCATTCTGGACATTGTGTTGAAAGTCTACGAAAATGAGTGGTGACATGTTCATCATCTTATGCACATCCTCAGTTAGGTCATAATCAGAAAACTGTACACAGGCGGCTAATCCTTGTCTGAAAGGTGACTCAGACCTTCCAGAAAGGGTTCAGGGGTCAGCCGCTCGTATAGCGCCTGCGAGGGCTGACTTCACCTGTGAAGATCAACCCATGGAGCTGAACCTCTTCACTTTATCCTATGGCAGACGGACGGGAGACCTAGTCATGCAATGCAGGATTCTAAGAAATGACTTGGGGCCTGATCTATCTCTCGTTTCCTTCCCACCAAGTCGGAACACCTCAGAGGATACAGTAGGAGACAAAAGCGAGGAACGAGCAGCCTCCGCAGAGTACTGGTTCTCGCGTCAAGTAATCAGCGCCTGGAACCGACTCCCAGAAGGAGTGGTGTAGGCATCGCCAATTAGCTCGTCCGGGGGGGGGATTGGACAGGCACGAAAATCTACTGGTAAAGGATTAATGTAGACTCTCAGCCTCCTATCCTCAAGCAAAAAATCTGAAGCTGAATCTTCCACAGTTCACATACTCTAACCGCAAATGAGTTAGCACGGATCTTTGTACGTGCTTTCTCAGGCCCTATTCCTAACTGGTGATCCCCCAAATTGCGCTTCTGATTAAAGCTTGGAAGGGATCTGTTAGGATGGACAGGATTATGGGCGACGCGGTACATCATGATCATACCCCATTGACCCCCGGGTATTGTACCGGATGCAGCTTAAGAGCAACCAAGCGATCTGGTTACGGTTTATGCCGTAATCCAATCACTTCCTTCGTAGCTCTTTTATGTACCTGTTCTAGGATGGCCATGTCACGCTCCAAGTAAGGGCACATCACAAGCGAGCTTTTCTCTAGATGAAGGCGAATGTACAGAGCGTACACTGCCGTGAGGAGTTAGACTCCCTAAAGTTCTCAAGAGAAACCCTGAGACTCTATAGGCCTTGTTGGCTGCAGGACGATGGTGGACTCAAGATCCTGGTGTGTCGCTTAACGTAACCCCCAGTCTTGTTCCATGCTAGAGTGATAGATATCTGTTTCACACAGAGAGTAAGAACTAGGATTACTCTTATGTTGGTCAACTAATATTATCCGACGCTTCTTATGGTTGAGAGAAAGAAGGTTTTCTGCAGTCCAACTAGGGATTTTGGTAAGGTCCTCCTGGAAGACCGAAATATCCGTCGACACTTATATCCCCCTCCAAATCTTCAGATCATCGGCACATAGTAGTGAATGAGAATTGAGGGATCCTAGTAGGTCATCGATGAAAGCAAGAATCTGTAGTGGGCCCAGAATGGAACCTTGAGGCACACCACTAGATATACGAAACCAATTAAATGGAGGGGAGCCAGCTCTGAATGCAACCTGCTGAAAAGATAATCTCTAAGCTAAATTAGTAGTTTTCCGTGTACACCCAAGTGCGGAAGCCCTTTACATAGGATATCATAATTTGCCACGTCAAAGGCCTTAGAAAAGTCAGGTAA